ATTCAAACAAGGTAATATTCCCCCTTCGAATATTCCAGCATAATTGACATTCACATCTTTTGAGCCTTGTATAACAGAACAGGAAACAGTTCCTAGAACATGTGCCAGAATTGAATGATGTAAGAGTGGAAAGTGCTACCCCGTGAAATGTTGTATTAGTAGATCAACAAACGAATTAACAAACCTCTGGTATAATAAAAATAATAGACATAAATACGTATATATATTTATACGTATAAGTACTAAATTAGCAATTTAACAAATAAAATAAATTTTTACATAGTAACAAGTTGGGTAAACATATGGGAAAACATTTTCTGTTAATAAATCAACTTTGTACACATTAATAATAATGTGTCTATGAATGAATTATTGCAATTTTTTTTCAATTGTTTATTCTAAATTTTCTTTTTAATAAATTAATTGCAAAAATATCGTTCCTGATGGATCATCGGTACTGTTCCTGATAGGGTTCTAAAAAAAGGGTCTATAAAATACTATGCTACTATTGCAAATATATACTTTTGCTTCTCCTTATAAACATATTCTTCGAATCCCCGGCTTTTCCTTTTTTACAATCTGATTGACCGATTTACTAAAATTCGAGATATGATTGGTTGATAATCATGTGCAACTATTGCTATATCTCCTTTAGCAAAAATTAATAGTAATTGCCAACTTATAATTATTAAATTTGATACGTAGTAATTTACTGACAACTTACAGGTAACTTTATTTGGTTACCAAACATCTAAAAATACATAAAATCGAAGATTCAGCATTGTCACACTGACTGCAGACATCACGGGAACCTCCAATTCTCAGTTTTTATTGGTTGTATTTAACTGATAATTCTTCCTCTCTCATTTCCGTTACCCCTCTCTTTTATGGAATGTCCCAACTGCATCGATGTTATTTTCGAATTGGCCATCATCTGCATCAGACTTCACGATGAACTCAACCACTTTCCCTGTCATTCCTTATCAACAACAATCATCAATATCTACAGGCTCAATTGATAAACTCGTACACAAAATCTAATAAATCAATGTGCTTTTGTTGAATACTGGGAGAATTATCCTCGTAGTTTAGAAAATAAAGTAGAAATGTACGAAAAAACATATGCTAAATATCAAAAATGAGTATTCTGCGCATTAAAGATAACCTACTGTATATTTAAGAATGAACTAATTTGCAAAAATACCGTTCGCCAGTACCGATCTTGATGGAGTTAAAAAATATATAATATATATTATTTGAGTACTGTTCCTGATAGACGAACCCTAATCCTAACATTTTTCATATAATAGTAGTATAGTATTTTAGAGGCCCTTTTTTTTAGAATTCTATCAGGAACGGTGTATAGATGTACTATTTTATATGCCTAATTTAATTACGTAATGCTTAATTCTGGCACATTTGAAAAATTTTAAAATACTTGCCCAGAATAGGACTTTTTTTATTAAGTTGTATCAAAGTTCCCTTGTGCGTGCGTCCGTACCTTGCTGGCTGTTTTAGGTAACGTTCAATTTTATATATAAATCAATCTAATCGTAAATTTTATAAGTCATAATAGGATAGCACTATCCAACGTACGTAAACATATGTAATATTACCAAATTTGTAAAAAATTTTAATGCTACATAACGCTAACGCTAATGGTGGTATGTTTGTTGCGTCATTATTGCTAAATCATTATCTTAATTTTACCCCACTCTTACATATGGTCTTTAGTCGGGCGCAAATTAATGGCGCAAGTAGACTATGCTATAATCTATACATAAAAGTTGATCTGCCAAAATGACATAACCGAGAAAAATTAACCCTCTTCCATTATAGAAAATATACAAGTTTACGGCGTAAAACATACGCATACTATATATATTTTAGCATAATAATTGATATAATTTGTATATAATGGGATCCCAAAGTTCTTTATTGTGTGAAAACCCAAAACAAAGAAAAACAACGTAAGTATATCGCCGCAGTAAAAATTTCTTTAAAGCGCATAATTAATAATTATTATAATTTATCAAATAGAAGAAAAATGAAGTTTATTTCGATTCTATTTCTCTTGATCTTTGCTTTTGCAAACGTCATTTTGGCAAGCCCGATTGATAAATTAACAAAACGAGAGTCTTTTACCAGTTTCATTTTGTCAAATTCGATCGATAAATTGATCGAACGACAACAATGTACTAATTATACCTGTACATACACAAGCAGTACCAAAGTTATTGTTTGTAAAGATCCTAGTGGAAAAGAAGCTAACTTGCCCGATTTTACTCAGAGTTTTTGTGTATAAAGTGCTTTTATTATGGTGGTGCTGCACATGTATATTTATAATATGTATAACTTAGCATAAATACGCATATAATGTTAACTAAGTACAAAAATTTTACATATAATTATTCTATGCACTTTTTATTTAAATGTTAAGCATTATCAAAATTAAATATTTTGTATCTTTACAAATTTATTTTGTCGATTAAATAAACAAATTTCTGAACAAAGGCTACCTTATTTTTATCAGTTCCTTTACAAAATTTTTATATACAAATTACTTAGTTTAATAAAATTCAAAATTTTAAATTTTAAGGAATTTTTATGATCCATTTTAGAATACCACTATGACGATGCTCACCACCCATAACAATAGATAATAATTTGTTAGGTTAAAGTTAAAAATCAACATTAGATTAGGGTTAGAGGTAGTCTTAAAAACTGGAGATCCTACTAAAATTCTGCAAAGAATTTATTTTTTTAAATTTGAATGTAAGAAATGGTTTCATAAGCAAAATTTTGAGTTATAAACGATTTTTGACAAAACGAACTTGTGCTTATGGTTGGAGCACAGTGTCACAGGGCATGCCCGTATTATATGATTATAAATCTTAATTCGTGATTCTCTTGGGAACCAGTGAATAAACATAGTAAACTTTGGGATGTAAATTTTGCCTTTTTTGAAATCTGAAATTTCCCAAAATAAAAAATCGATTTTTTTTTACTAAGTAAATCTCTCTTCTACTTCTAACAAAAATTGTAGAGAAGAGAATTCTGAGCATAATGGTGGTTGAAACGTTAAAATCGACTCAGTGTCGCGACTATAAGTTTACTTTGTTTACACAAATAAGTAACAAATAGTCGTAAAAACAAAAATGTCATATCTCACGATGCACTGGGCCAATTTTAACATTTCAACCACCATTATACTCGGAATGTCCTTCTATACAACTTTTGTTAGTAGTATAAGTGAGATTTATTTAGTAGAAAATCGATTTATCTTTTGGGAACCTCCAGATTCCAAAAACAATAGTAAATTTCGGGTCGGATCCGGAATTTTTAATGAGTATTAAAGTAGCATTTACAAAGAACACTTGAACTAAACTGTATATATAATTAATATAATTAATATGGAAAACATGCTACCGGCAACAGGCTTCACTTGTCTCTTACATATATCTGTAGCAAGTAGCAGTCGTTCAAACTCGCTGCATAAACCGGATCCGAATGAACAGTTTTGAAGGACATGCTACTGGCGATAGAAGCATGTGGGAGACAAATGGTGTCTACTGCTAATAATGTTGTTTCTATATTAATTATACGTTGCTAATTTATATCCATCAGAAATACTGGATCCGTTTCGATCTTGTTCTGTGGAACACTAACCTTATATGAAATAAGCTGCCCAGCTGATAATTTTTGGCCTAGAAATTGTTGACTTACATCGAGATCCTCCTGCTCGCAACTTTAGGTTTGTTGATCTACATCTAATTCTGTTTTTAAGGGATGGGATTTCTAGGTTTTTTTTTTTTGATGAAATTATGGTTATGATTTTATATAGGTATCAAGAATACAACTTATACATTATGCAGATTAAAAAGTGATCACCTATTCTTAGTGATAAAAATAGATTAAACTCAGCCCCAATGCATTTATAATGTGATCGAATTTTCCTCAAATTGTGTTTGATAACGAAAATTCAATTCCAATGCAGGTATTTACCTGATATTTTGGGAATCAATGTTTCCATATAATATAAAATCATTCAGATAATCTGATCAGTTTATTGGTGCGCATGGTAACTCTAAGTAATAATAGATTACATATTTTCACAAAATCAATTTAATATATTTATTAAAATTAATTATATACTATATATATCGATATATATTTAATTACTTTAAAACGATGCAACATATTGAAAACCCAAAGAATTATCTTGAAATTTTCATAAGTAACTTATTAAATGTTGGAGAATAAAGTTACGCTTTCGGATTTTCTATTAACATAGAAATTTGACTTTAATAAAACTTTTTAGAGATGTCTTCTGCGAAGAATTTTCAATTAAAAGAAATTAGAAAGAAGTACAATGTAAAGTTGCGTTCTTTATCAATTAAATATACGTATATCGATATGATATTTAATCGATTATTTTAATTTCACTGAATAAAATCTGATCATAGCAAAATTACCAATATTGCTGAATAGTTTAGTTGAGTTACCACCCTAGTACGTACTGTACGTACTTATAAACATTAGTTTATCAATATCAATATCGATATGTTATTGTCATACTTGCATATGATTCGAGGCTAACTGCAGTGTTACATCAATTAGAACAGATTATCGGTCTTGGTAGCAAGCTTTCGTGTTTTAGTGAAAGTTTATAGGGATAAATTATCATTTATTATGGGTAGGATTTCATTTTTATCATTATTTAATGCCTCTAAGCTTGCTTAAAAATTAGTTTTCTAAAATTTTTTCTTTATTCTGGATTGATTATGAACATCGATATCGATATTTCTTTATCTCCGATTATGTGGTTCCACAAATAATTGAAGCTTTCTCGACCCAATTTTATATGTTGCGCATTTATAGTTAATTATTAGAATGCACAAATTTGTTTTTGTGCATCTATTAATTTAATTTTCATATAAATCAAAGGGAAACGCTACATATTACTTTTTTTAATTGTGAATTCTGCAGAATCGTTTATCATGGTAGATTCAAAAGACCCCCCTCACAACCCCACATTATGTCAAAGATTATCTTATCAACGTGGGTGGGGGAGACCAGGTAACTTTTTTTAAAAAAAAAATTTATTTAAATTGATTCCTTTTCTATTTAACTGAATTTATTTCTGCTTTTAAAATCCAGACATTTTGCATTGTAGAAGTTCTGTAAGTATAAATCCTACAGGTTTAGAGCGTCCAGGGTACTACTGCTCTAACTGAAAAATTCGGCTGCTATTATTGAAATCTACAGTGACGTATAAATAATATTTTAAAAATAAAATCACAATAAAAAAAAGATTTTATTACAATAGACTACATTTATATTCATCAATTATTCTGTTCATAGAATTCTTATCACCGCAGTACCCCGGACACTCTATTAAAGTTTTAATCTATATTATTAAATTCTATCAACTAACGTATATATTAATATTTAGGTATTTTTAACCATTATTCCAATCCTTACTTTTTCGACTTTATTAACTTCCGGAATCTGTGCTTTATTCCTTATCTACAATATTAACTTAACTTTACCGGGGGCCTTGGGTAAGAGCTTATATCCCTCTCCTTCACAAATAAATTATATATATTTACTACATATATTTATTGATATCCATTTAGTTGGTACTATTACCGTTGTGGTCGGTCTTCTTCTGGCTTTTCGTACAAACCATGCTTATGATAGATATTATGAAGGTCGAAAATTATTTAGCAGTTTATGGTAAGTTTATTGTACGTGCAAATTCAAAAACCTATTGTCATATGAATAAAAAACATTTTTATATCATGACATTATATTATAGTACTCTATCAAGAAATAGCACGCGAACTATTTGGATCGGTGTTGCAGAAAATTCAAAGAAAGATCGTGAAGAAAAAATAACATACATCAAACTCGTGTTGGCATTTGTTGTTGCCACTAAACATCATCTTCGTTTGGAATTTGGTACTAATTATAAAGATTACGAAGGTTTATTACCTTCATTATCGAAAGGTTTTCAACGTACAAAGTTTGACGGTAATGCTGGTCAAGAGAATACAGAGTTAGGCAGTGGAAGTCATGAAGATCCAAATCATCCTGATAACCTTGCAAATAAAGATCCCACTCCAGACATTACCATACACACTCAAGAAGCGAACGAGTCTACTCAACTTCTTCCAAAGTCCCGAAATCAAGATCCAGTGGGATATTTAAAAGATACTTTTCGTTTTAGAGATACTTTTCGTTCGCTTAGAAGTGGTAGAAGCCAAACATTTGATGTTGATGTTTTGTCATGGGGAGCCCAAGATCCGAAAATGTGTCTTCCAATGGTGAATTTCAAAAATAAGATTTATTATTATTATTATTATTATTATTATTATTATTATTATTATTATTGTTATTATCATTATTATTATTATTATTATTATTATTATTATTATTATTATTATTATTATTATTATTATTATTATTATT